AGAGAGAAAGAAAGAAAGAAAGAGAGAGAGAGAGAGAGAGAGAGAGAGAGAGAGAACGAGAGAGAGAGAGAGAGAGAGAGAGATGCGGGTTGTTCACTGGGTGAGATCGAGGACTTTTTGATACGACATACAATAGCATCATTTGAACCCTTCCATACCCTTCTACACACGATTGATTCGGTTTACATTGTCCGATAAATCGATGGCATGACGCAATTAAATAACAATATTATGGAGCCTTGCAAACAAACACAGATCCACACTCACGGAAAAATATATCAGTTGTCTTTTGTTCAGGCGTTGTGCTTGCTGTTATTAATTTAACAACATAATGTACTTGGCAAGCACAAACAGATAATTCCAGATGCGGCAAGCTCTTCGCCCAGAATGAAATCGTTGAAAGGAATAATATAGATGGAAGTCAGAGGTGATACACCAGAGCAAGTATCACACATGCACATACAAGTGCAAGTTCGTGGGTGGTTGGCGAGTGATCTGGTGTGGTTTGCTCCTTCTTTCCTATTAAAAAATATATCGTCTCTATCTACCCTCCTTCTGTTTTGTGTTTATTACTCTCTTGTAACACCTATAATCTTCGGCACTTATATGACCTTATTTTGTTGCAAGGGCTTTAAAACTCTTACTAAAACTTTTTAAAGTACAAGTTTAGATATAAATGTTGCTTCTCTTCATTTCTCTTTTCTTAGACAAGCTATTGACTTGTCCTAAGCCCTGACAAAAATAATAATATTTTTCAGGACTGATACTTTTTTTTGTTTTAAAGAATGTCCCTAAATTATCTATCGTTTCCTGCTTTTCCAGCATTTAGAATTTGATTTTCAACAAAATTCTACTCGAGCACATGCAACCGATAACTCAAGATAAGATACTTCCGTATAAGAGATAAAAATTGTGGGCTAAGTACAACCGAACGGCTGACTTGAGTACTCGACAGGTTACTCTCACTGTAGGGAAGCTTTGATTTCTTTATCGCACTCACTCTCGCAACGTATGTGGAGCAGAGGTGGGGGTCTAACATGTACATATACTATACCACTCTCGTGCCCCCTCCCCCACCAGCCAACCTTCTGTGTCTCACCTGAGTGCACGAGGGCACAAGTAGTGTCACAACCAAAGCTGACCAGGATCGTGTCACAATGACCGCCCTGTGCTCTCTGAATGCAGTCACACTCTGTGTCGTTGGTCTCATCGGAAACTGAGGACGTGCGCGACACATGCATATTAACATTCTCATAAACGCTCTTAGTAATAATACACATGGCACTCACACATAGGATTTTCTAGACACGTAATTTTACGCACGACACATCTAAGACTTGGTCATGGTATACACGCGTGACAAACATGACTCACTCATGACACGCTCATTCACTCACTCACATACACATACATAATAATATACACATACACACACAAACACACACACACACACACACACATACACACACACCCATACACTCACGCACATGCACACGAACACACACATACACACTCACATTCACGTCATATAAACATACATAACACGATGACATATTTATTATCTTGACACGCTCATGGTATACTTATGACACACACGACATTCACATGACGCTCACAGACACACACAGACATACACGCACACACACACACACACACACACACACACACACACACACACGCGCGCGCGCGCGCGCGCGCGTTATAAACTGAATTCTTTGCAGAAAGTGGCGTTATGCAAAATCTGATACAATGCAGCCGCTAAACAAAATTCGATCCAGTTCCAACGTACTGCCATAATGTTTGCGTAGACACAAGACTAATGCGCATAAAATTTTAAAATATAGCACATAACACAGAACTTGTAGTACAAGCTTCTATTCATTCACATTCACGATATTATAAGTGCAACGTACATTGTGTACACCCCAGCATAATAACAACGTCATTGCTGCAAAGATTAGGCGCTTTGCTGTAGCACGCAGGAGACCAGAGCTCGATACTAGAGTGAAACGAATAATTTATCGAGTTTTTCGGTCCTTTTGCTAGGAAATTGCATCACTGTCAGCCCGGGTTCCGACTCCATAACTGATTTAAATTGTGTCGATTGGGGCGTAACATCAGCCACATTAATGAAAATTTAAGAAAAATCAACAACAAATGAAAAACAAAACAAGACAACAACAAAAAAATAAAACAAAAACAAAAACAAAACAACCCAACAACAAAACAAAACAAACAAACAAACAAACAAAATAACCCAACAACACAA